TTTTTTTTTTTCCTCTTGGATTAGTAGAGTGGTCTTTGCGAATTCAGCTCTGTGATTAAATCGTACTCGGGGGTTGCACCCGGGGTTGCAAATGGGAGTGTGCAAAAAGTACAGTCCTCGGAACAAAATGTGAACCCTATGAATCGTCCTGGAAGTTTTCAGGAATTTGCTTGGGTCCCAAGGCAGCAATGGAGCTACTTTTCGTTGCAGCTAGAGAGACGAATAAAATGGGGAATGTAACAGTTTGTATTTGTATTTGATTGCTTGGCATGCTTGTTTGCAGTGTTTTATAGTTCTTGGCTGGGCTCCTGCTCGCTAGGGAAGGTAGGTGTAGTTTTGGGCTTTAAACACAAAATAACTAAAACCAGGAAGAAACCCCAACCCTGCAGTGGTGATGCACTGGTAGGCTTTGTGTGTCGTGGATGCTGTTGGTAGCTGTACATGGTAAATGGTATCTGCAGTCAGCTGTGCAGGGTGACAGTGTCTGCAGCGAGTTTCAGTGCTTCACAGAAGATCTGCTGTGTTGCCCTAGAAGCTGAGGTACGGTTGCTGCTGAGCTGCTGCAGCTTTGCTGTGTCCTCTGGCTCGGCGGCGTGTTTCTCTAGCTTGTTCTAGATCCTACATGTCGTCATCCCACCATCTCGTGCTTTAGTATTTTCTGAACACCTGAGTGAGTTGTCTGTCTTGTGTTTAAAACTATTTTCTGCCTTCATAATTGCATTTCGTTAAAATAAGAGTGCAGATGTCATAGCACTTAAAGGAAGAGAYATCCTCTTTACAGTGACCTTGGGACAAAATCTTGGCTGATTAATTTCCTTGGCTGGAACAGTCATGCGGAGTGTGGGTATTTTTGTTCTTCCTTTACAGGAAAGAGTGTTTGATAAAATACTTTTTAGCTTGTGTTTTTTTGGGAGTTATTTTTCACTTAAGGGAAATCAAGGTCTGGAGAAGACTATTTGGGATAAGGAGTAATTTTATTCTTAGTTATGGAGAAAACAACTTTGTTGTAACAAGGAGGAAGATTCTTGGCTCTGAAGTAGCAYGTGCTCTTCCCTGCTAAAGAGTCATCTAAGTAGTAGATTACAACTGTGGGAATAATTTGCTAGGGGAGGGAATGCATAACTTGGAAACCTGGATTATTCCTTTTGTTTTTCAGTTCTGCAGCTGAGTTGGAAACCAGTGATGAAACTGGTCATTTTTGTTGTGGTAAGGGTAAATAGGGGAGACAACTGTGCCATTAGTCAGGAGAGATGGTGACTTCCTTAGGAAGTGCCTGAGGAGCCTAGAAAGGGCTGCTGCAGGGTTTGAGCTGAAGAGACTCCTGGTGACTTCAGGAGTTGGTTAAGGGGGAATTTGAGCACTTGAGATTGCCTACTGTAAGGATTTTTTAGGAGAGATTGTGAAAAACTGAAATGAATCCTGGTGGTTGATAGGTAATGGTGAGCAATGGACTGATTACACCTTTGTCAGACAGGAAGCTTTGACACAAGATGTGCAGTCATACTTGATCGAGTCATCCACATTAAAGACAAACTATACCTTTGTAGTGGGACACAAAGTCTTGCCTCTTTTCCCTGCTGTGAGCAAGGAGCTCCATTCCTGGGTACAGCAGAGCTAGGGATGTGCTGGGTGCATTGACCCATCACTGACCAAGTTGCTGCTGTGGAGAAAGTAAAGGAGATGGTGAAGTGTGTTAGGCCAGGACACAGGCAGGGGGGGTGGTGGAAYGGGTGTGAGCTCCTGGGGAGTGCCAGGCACGGATTCTCTCACCTGTGCTGTGCATGGGACAGGTGCAGATTGAGGCTGGAGAACAGCAATGTCAGGTATTCCAGAGAAGACAAGGAAAGCCTGGCTTGTTTAGCCTAGCAAATAAGGCTGAGATGGAATACGATTGCAGTCTGCAAGAACAGCAGGGATGTAAACACTAGAAAGGGAGAGAGGAGCTATTTAAGCTAAAGAACAATGTTGGCATGAGAACAAATGGATATAAACTGGCATGAATAAACTGAAGCTGGAATTTACACAGTTTTTTTCCCTAAATGGGCTAGAACAACCTTAATATGTTAGAAATGGGAGCAAKCCCCTTAGCTGGCTCTTGAGGATATATTGAGGGAGTCTGTATTGGGTGCTTGGCTGTGGCAGTAGGAGATGARGCTTGGGGACTCGGGAAAAGCTTTTCTGTGTGTCTGAGTTAACTGAATGTCGGTTTTATGTACTAGTGTTTCTTATTTTTAAAATCTGGCATTCAAAACTGCTATAAAAATTGCTTTACAATTTGTGTTACTACATAGAAAGGGTTGCAATGTGCTTAGTGGCCACTTTCTGAAATGTTTTGCATATTAGTTTTTTTCCCCTCCTAAATAATGTTTTGTCTAACAACTGTGTCTAATTATGTGGAAAATCTTTTTCCTTTAAGTCCAAGCTGTGCAAAAGGAGACTGTATGTTTGTATGTGTGAGCTGCTTGGGCTTATTAACCTTCAGGTTTATAAATGAACTGCAGCAAACCTTTTCCCCCCCAATATATGAGTTATTCATAAATCGTCTCAAAAAGGTGTTCTTGGGGGGCTGTACAGTAGACCCAGGTAGTGTGAACTGAGACCAGTGAGGGCTCCAAGGCATGCTGTGACTGGAAAGTAGGAATTAAATGAAGTTAAAGYAAATTTGAAAACAAGTCTAGTTGAGCTAGTTGTGCATGGGATTTGTCTCATTTGTTGTCCTGCAGAATAGCTGAGTTATCTGGCATGGTGGTTGCAGCAGCTGAACTTTTGTGAAGTCCATAGTTGGTTCTAAAAATATTGTGCATGCAATATGAAATACAACCAGCTGCAGATGCTATATAATGGGTACTGTGACTGTCAGCAGTGCCTGACTGCTTCTCATGATGACGAGTATCCCAGCACCTCTGTGTCTGTTTCCTTGTCTCCTTACGCTTTGAACAGAGCACTAATCCATGCTGTCCCCAGAGATTTAAGGAACAGAGGATGTTTTTTGAATGCTCTGTGTGGTGTCCTGCTTTAGTTTCCTATTTTTTTTCCCTTCAGCCTGATTTATTTGTAATCTGTTGTCTTCTGTGATTTACTTCCTTTTTTTTTTTTTTTTTTTTTTTTTTTTTTTTTTTTTTTTTTTTTTTTTTTGGTCTCCATGTAAACAGATGTCAAAGGAAAAATAAAATAGGAACAGGATGCCCTTTTTCAAAACCTCTTCTGTAGATACCCTCTGAACCTCTGACTGTTGTCAGCTTGGTGTTACCAGAGTTTGGTGCAAGCTTCCTCTTCTAAACATTTGGTAGCTTTTGGTTCCAAGTTCCTGTCTGGTCTGTCTGCAGCCTCCTGGGACCTTGCTGCAGCCTCCACGGCCTTTAGCCAGGAGTGCTGCTTGTCTGTAGGTCTGCTCCTGGCTGAGAAAAGAATTCCTTCTTTCTTCTTGGCTTCCCCTGGATCTCTTCTGGGATTATTGTCTCTTTTGCCACTTTCCATTCACCCGCAAATGGTGTTACAGGTGGAAGGCTGTACAGCTCTTGCTGAAGAATTTGAGGGAAGCATTACAGAGCGTGCCCTGGGGTTGCTGATGAATCCTGGTTTATCTGTGCCTCAGCTGGGAGGTCCTGCTCGATGAAKTCCATTGCCAAAGGTGTAAGAGCAGACCTTGCTCACTCCACAAAGTGACTGGGAATGAGTGTGGGAGTCTGCCCTGACAAAGAAAGCAGATGCTTGGCCTCCATCACTCACAGGATGGTGAGTTAACCTTGTGYAGTGGGTTTATTTATGTTTTGAAGAGATGCAACTCGATTTTCTGGGGATCTAAGGTCAGCCTCAAAATTCTGTCTCCCAATGTCAAAACAATTTTCTTTTTTTAACTGAGATGTGCTGAGCTTCAGTCTCCCCTGAAAATGTGATATTTGTTTGGATAAGTATTTGCATTGTGACTTTTACTGCTGAACAAACCCTGCATCTGAGTGCACTAATTAGTGCATTTTTCAAGTGGTCTGYGTAACAATTAAGATGATTAACTAGATGCAAATATGTGCCTTTCTCAGTAGTCTTTGCTGCATTTGATACTGATCTCAGATGAATGAAGTTGGAGGCATCTAGGTCTAGGAATTAATGAACATGAGCTACTAATTTGAGTACTAGTGCATTCAAAGTAATATGTGACAGAGGGAGGTTTCCTGGAAAATAAAATATGCAAAAAATCAGTCCCAGATAGCCAGTGTCTGTAATTCTAGTTTGTTTTGCCTTGTGAATAGTGCTGTGRTTGTAAAGTACTTTAAGCAAATTCCTGGCAGACTTATATTTGACAGTTTAATCTGTTGAACTTCACAATTTAAAAGCCTCCACTAAAATCTCAGTGGTGTCCTCCTGTAGCTATGCCAAAATATAGTTATAACTCAGTGATTTATAACTCTTTGGCTCTTCTTATTTTCTGCAGAAAACTTAAGGGGAATCTTTCTTTCCTTTGTCTTCCTTTCTGGATTACACTGCACCCCAGATAATATACCCTGTCAGAGAAAGTATCAGCTTTGTCTGCCTTTGCGAAAGCCCTGCTGGAAGCACTAGTCAGGATTTGCTATGATATGCTTTCAAGCAATACTGCAGTCTGTTAAGTTGTTTTTTTGGAGGTTGGTTTTCATTTGCCTTCAATGCAAGTGCAGCTTAATTTTTCAAAGGCACCGAAAGGAACATTTCTAAAGTATTTCTGCAGATTTCAAGTGTAGATTATGTATTTTAAAATAYCAGTTTCATATTGGTGCTAAAATGTGCATAATGGAGTAATCTCTTAGTCACAACTGCACTTTTCCTTATGTCTGTTAGCTAGTTATGGAGAGAGGTTTCCTGATGTCATTACTGGGTGTGAAGGACAGATTCCAAAGAGAAGGAAATGGGCAGGCATCAAATGTTCCCTACCTTTATGAATTAATGTGTTTTAACAGAAGAAACTACCAAAAGCTTTATATATTTTGTTTTTGTCATCTGTTGTAGAAATATGTATTTTCTTTGCAGTGTTCCCAGGGTAGGAAGCCCTCCAAACAGTTATTAAATGGCAGTCATTAGTGGGACTAATGTTGGGACAAATTACTTAAGACTTTATTGGAAACCTCGTAAGTATAATTTCTCATGAGTTGGAGGAAGATGGGCCAATTGCAGAATTCAGCAAATGAGGAGCTTGCCATTAAGCCGTCCTATGTATTTAATATAGAATTTCATTATAAGGAAGTGGAAGCAGTAGTTTGGGTAAATGTGACAACTAATTCATTGCTCTCGTGTTTACACTTGCCTTGTTAATTCTATTTGCAAAGAGGATTATTGTTGGGAAGAGGTATTTCTTACCAAGGTGTTGAATCGTGTAGCTATGGAGGAAGCTGAGCAGAGAAACAGCATGAAACATGAAAATGTAACGGCAAGGAAGTGAGGAGGAGGAATGCTCTCCCATGGAGAATTTGGCAGTTGACAGATCAAATTGGGATTTAAATGTGGCATAATGGAAAGAAGGTCTAAATAAGTTGTTTAAATGAGTTGGAGATCTATACAAGTAGGCCACAATGTATGAACTTAGAGCAAGATTCRTCTGGAAGGAAATACAGTAGACAGYCTGGGTGTTTGGGATGCATGTGGCATTAAGAAAATCCTCAGCACTGTGTGATGATCTTGTCTCGTTAGCACCCTGCATGYCTCCTGGGTGAGCAGGAGAGAAGGGATCTCCATGGATTTTTGTTGTTGCCTTTTTGTTTTTTTTTTTTTTTCCCCTGATACCCATCTCCGTGCAAAACCTTTGGGGAATGTGAGGTCTCACCAGATCAGGAGAGGCGTGGAATGGCAGGGTGAGGATGTCCTGTCAGTTTTGTCATGAGAAACTTGTGTTTGCCTGTGAAATGGCTGACCCTGGATGTGTGCTAAGTCACTGTAGTGGTGCTGGTCAGAAAAAAGAGGCACAAGGTTCAAAGTATTAGGACAGAGTCAAGTTTTGGTAACTCCCTTTGTGAGAACGATGTGAAGTATTTCAAAGCAATTAAAGTAATCAATGCAAAAGTTTCCTGCTGTTTTATCTGCCCTCTTTAAAGCTTAAATAGCCATTTTTTTCCCAGGCACATAAAGTCTTTTTTTCTCTGACACAGGAAAATACAGGAAATAGACATCAGACAGAGTCAGTGCTGCCATGCTGGGAAAGTTTGAGGTCTGTTTTAGACATATGGAAAGATGCCCTACCCCTAGGATAGAGAGAGGCTGGTGCTGCAGTGGGAAGCAGTTTCTTTCCCTTTAAGAATTAAATTTTACTCTGATGTTATCATCTTCCAGAAGTATAGACGTAAAGGTGAGCTTGAAAATACAAAAGAAATGGAATGTAGGCTGATATGTAAAGAGAAAGAGGAAGGTTATAAAGGTAATGTCATTTGAATCTGAAAGATAGTGAGAATTGCCTTTTTGGGAAATGACTCATATTTTTAGAGTCCTGTGGGAGCCTGCTTGCCTTATTCTTGTTTTTTTCTTCCTTCCACCTCTGTCTTTTTCCCCACCAGGATTCAAGACAACAGTGAAACAATATGAGAACCATCAGTAAAGGGAGTGGTTTAACACAGYTGTGTAATGAAACATATATGTATTCAGAAAAACAAGATTTTTTTCTTTTTTTGAGAAGTTTGCTATTCATTCCCTTAAAAAGTTCTCAAATTTAGGAAAAATGKTTGATGATACTTGTGTATTTGAGAAAAGAAACATTAGAAAAAACCAAGTTTTCAATTATTTGATGTTTGTTTCTCAGAAATGTTTTAAGATTGGACTTATTGTTTGATAACTTTGTAGGCTGGCAAAATAATTAACAAAGGATATTGAAGAAAGACAAAGTAAAATTGGCTTTAGACATGTGCTATTGTGTAAGAATGTGCAAGAGCTTCGAGCAAGCCATGCTTTAGTATGTGTGTTTTAACCTTTTATAATCTTTGCATGCTRCTATGTCAGCAGCATGTATAAACTTCTGTAAAATATCCTGTGTATTTCCTGTCCCAAGTATGGATTTAAACATGGGTAAATGTGATGRTTCTGTATCTGCCAAAATGTAGAAGCTTTCTGGTAGTGGCATATGAGCATTTAGGGACCAGTAATTCTTTTTTGAAAACCAATATAGATGTGTCCTAATGTGATAAAGATGGTGCTGTTTGTCAGGGAAACAGCTTAGATGTTCCCTGGGAAATTTGTCTTTGCAGCCTAACAGCATGTCAATATTGTGATGCCCTTGCACTGAAGTGTAACTCTTAAAGGCAGACCGCAGAAAATTCAGGTATTCTCAGTGAGGGCTCTGTGTGGGGAAGGGGAATCAAGAGAGGCAGTTGAGAGTCTCTGAGGGATGTCAGTGAGRCTTGGTGCCAAGGAAGTCATGAAGCCATGGGACCCTCAGAGCATTGTGAAAGGTGTGTTCCTCAGATAGGAGTCATGTTTCTGTTTTTTTTCATCCTGCTTTGGGCTAAAAATCAGCCAGCATGTGCTGCATGTTGGTTCTGAAATACAGCCTCCATGCTCTGCTTTTGGCCAGCCTATGTGTAGCAACATATGCAATGTGGTTTCACTTGCTCGTTTCTGGGCAGGAAAAAGGGGGATCCCTCAGTGCTTCCCTTGTCCAGCCAGCAAATCAGGGGGGGATGCTTGTTTTCCTTCCTTTCCTATGTGTATGCATGTGTCACAGGGATGGGAACAGCTGACAGGCAGGATATGGCAAGGTACATCCCCAAATTTGCTGTTTCCCTGCTAGCAGAGGCTCTGGTGACCCCTGTATCCTCGGAGATGGTGGCAGCTGGGAGCTGTCACTGTCCTTGCCTTGCAGTAACCCTGAGGCTTTCCTGAGCAGCCCGCCCTGGCAGTCTCCAGAGAGGCCCAGGAGTCGGCGGCTGGCTGCCTGCCATCCTGCAGCACAGTGCCTGCCTCTGCTGCTGCCAAACCAGCAGGTAGGAGTGCTAGCTGGGCGGAAAGCATTTTGTGGGATTTATCCAAAATAAATATCTAATTTTGCATGGGTGAGGCTGAAATTCTTCAGCTGCACCTCCTGCCACAGCAGAAGAAAAGCTCTCCTTCCTCATGATGCTTTTCTAAGCTTGTGTGCATATGCAAGGTAAAGCAATTATTTTCCTGAATTTAAAATTTGGATCCTCCTTCYTTGACTTGTGATGGACGTCTAGATCTATACCTTTTTGAAAACGTGTTTGAAGACATGTAACCTGAACTTCCCTGAACCTTCCCCAAAAGGTTCACTTTGAGGCATTTAGCTGATTTTTTTTGCTACTGCTCTGTGCTTCTATATAATCCTTGAAGTGTAAATATAGAGCTGTAAGAAATAGCACTTGATCTGGTATCCCAGCTTGCACTAGAACTTAAATTAAGAAATATGAGCTTCCGCTATAAATCAGAAATTTGAGTTTGTTATCCCTTAATTTTTGGCCTGATAAATCCTTTTGCTCCTAGAAAGCTGTTAAGGTTCATCTCTGTAAGTGCCAAGGTTGTTTGAAATCTGTGGGTTAAATAAGACATGTGCAAAGGTTTAAAATAAGACTCAGCCCACACAACATGCCAGCTGTAAAACCAAGACTGGACAGTATGGGGCTGATTTGGGCCATGCTGATCTGACTTCAGACCTGACTAGTGTTGAGCTTTAGCTTCTGCTGCCTGTACTGCCTTTGCTTCAGAGCAGGGACCAAAAATTCGCAGGTCGCTGATTGTTGTAGTGTCATTAACTCACCCAGAGTAATGGG